TAACAAAAGTTCTCATAGAAATCAAAACAGTAAAAAATACTTTCTTAAATGAAAACTGTAGATTAAATTAAACTTAGCCGAACTCTACAAATAATGAAATCATTTCTAAAACAACTGATTAAAAACAGCAGTATGGAAAATTGTGTAATTACTTTTTAACCTTCTGTGAGGAAATAACTCACCCAAAGGAATTTCCTACATGAAACTGTTATATTATATAAACTATATGTTTGATATTTGTTAAAATATTTAAAGTTGATCTTTATAAACAAAGCACTTAAACCTATATTAATTTTACATGAGTTATAAGAAATTTCTTTTGAATGTGTGTATTTACTGCTAAAAATTCATACAACAAGGTATTATAATTTTTTTAAATAAAAAATTTTCAGGTAAGTATTTGATTACTTAGTAATTTTAAAAAAGCACAAAATATGAGTTTAAAATATGTTTAAATAAATTATCAAATCCTCGATAATTAAATTCCATTAAAAATTAGCACGCATCCATTGGGATAAATACAAATAATTTTGAAACATAACATCAAATCACATTCAATAACTTAGAAGAAATTCTCAGTTTTTTAAAAGTAACGTTATTGCTTAAATTAAACATAAAATATAAAAGACATATTCAATAAACTAATATTTTCAATTACATAAAAACAGCTTTTCATCATATCTATAGAGGCTTGGATTTATCACAAAGACATTTAAGTATTTCAATATATGAATGTGGTTTCCACTATGAAAACAATATACACTTCACATTACTTGCTGGCATAAAATACATTATACATTTAAATGAGCATACTTGCATAAAATATATTATATATTTAAATGGGCACAGATTTTAAGAATTCTGCACATCAGTAAAATCATTTTATAGAAAAAATAATAAGCTGAAATTAAATGCTAAGTACCTCTAAAAAATGACTTAATTTACACTTTTAACTTTATTTTTAAAAGCATAATAATTGATTTGCTCATAAAATTAAATGAAAATTGTGTGATGAAATTAAAACTTTGCAACAAAAACCTTAACTGAAACAAAATGCACAAAAAACTACTGTTTCATTAAGAACTTTAAATATTCTTTATTGAAAATATCATAAAGAAATGCATCAGTTATTTACACTTCCATGGTACATTTTATCTCAGCTTACACCCACAGTTTTGCTTAAAAACATGCAATTTCAATCAAAGAGCCAAAGTAAATGTTTGCTTTCACAGATGTTAATGAAAATAATCAAAAAGCTCTGTACATGAAGTTTTTATATGTGTAAATAAAATGCAAATACTATAACACAAATCTCAAACATGTTATCACACAATACATATGGCTCAGCATTAAATCTTTGTAAGAAGATTCACTCAAGTTAAATTATAATCTCGCATTTCAATATACAGAAATTTTTACATTTACTTTTTTCAGCATATGAAAATTAAAGAAGTCATTTCCTAATACAATAAAACCACACTTTATATCTAAAACAATGCTTAATTAAACTTCCTGTAGTGATACTGACTTATATTTTCATCTTTTCTACACAAGTATTATTACCTATTTTAGCATGATTTTATTCATCCTTGTGATTTTTATTTATTTATGATTATATTATCTAGCACTGGTCCTACTTTCATTAAACCAAAGTAAAACTAAATAGGTGAAATATTAAATAATATTTTTCAAATAAATAGCAACAATTCTATGAATATCTTTTACAGCTTTCGTAGAACAAAAAATAATAATAAAATAAGCAAGCTGTGTTGAAAGAAAAAGTATAGAGTATTATCATTCCTGCTTTAGAATTTTTAACATATTAAATAAAAGTATAAGAAGGTAATTAAATAATTTTACATTATAAAAATGTTTCCTTTCAAATTTTATAGCATATTACACTTTATCAATGCTTACCCTAATTACAAATTATGTACTGTTAAAGTACATTGTTAAACTACATACAGTTATACTGTATCTTTAAATGTAGTTTCTTTTTTAACTAATCCTTTATTTATTAACTGAAAATAATAAACATTTAATTTATTTTTGTTTTCTGTACAACCTTGAAAGTAAATTCAATATAAAGAATATATTCAGAAGTATCCATACATCAGTGAAAAATTAGGAAGCAACTAACAGAAGCATAAGATATGTAGAAGGGTTTAAAATGATTTTGTAAAGTTTATGAAGAATGAACATGACAAATTGGCTAATATTTGTTTCCTTATCACTAAATATGGTTACTGACAGAATTTCTGTCTTGTAAAATACTCACAACTGCTTCTGTGAAAGAAGGTAAGTTTCAAATTTTCATGTATGTCAATTTAAATTAACAAAATTTTATATGATGTAATGCTTGTTCACAATCTATAATAAATTTAATCAGCTTAAATAATTGTTTTATTAAGTTGGCAATATCCAATGTGTTGCCTACATTAATATTAGAAAAGCTGATACGTCATACTATATTTTTTAATTTTTTATTTATTATCAGACGTCATAATATGCACACCATTTACACTTATTTTTTTCATTAAGCAGGCAAAAGTTTACAAGCCTAAATAATTAAAATTATTATCACAGATGGTTGGGGAAATAGTTTTTTTCTTCAATATACTTCTCTAAAATAATTTGTTTCTTCAGATTCTAACATTCAGTTAGTTAGCAATTCTACATTTATTTTAAACAATTATTTGTTATTTATTTTAAACATTCAGAAAAGGCAAGGTGTAATATTTAGCTTTATTTGTAATGAATATCAACTTCATGTATATTTCAGAAGAATAGCATATGACTGCAATAAATAAAAGCAAATAGGGATAAGCAGATAGTAAATGAAAGAATGTAACATACATATTTGGCTTGCTTTTTAACTATTAATGATATAAAATTATTTTGGCAAACAACATTTAAAATTAAAGATAGAAATCAAATGACAATGCTTTATTTTATTATAATTTATTAGCAATTAAAGGCTACTTTCTGTTTGCAATAATTTAAATCATAAAAATATGGAAATATAGGATGGAAGTAATATCTGGAATAGTATCTACAATTAACCCAAAATCGCAGCTAATCCAATAGCAATTTTTTTTTAAAAAAATGTAGTAAAAAATAATATGCCATATCATAATTAACAGAAATTTAGTATTAACAATTTACCAACATTTTTAAGCCATGTAGCATGGAAAATAAGTTCATTTTATTATGTAAATTAAATTATCATTTAACACAAGATAATCAGACACACTTCAAAACAGAAAGAGCAATGTTTTTGTTTATATTACACTTGTATTTCAACAATAGTCAATGCAAAACAGAAGATAAATGCTTAACTTCTTTTTACGATTCAACAACTTAAAGGATAATTCAATAACATTAATATGGTTCAGATTAAGCATAAATATATTATATACTATTGCAGATAAAAACATTTCCTAAAGATGACACCATCTGCTACCACTGCTGTTAACTCATACATTTTCTTTCCCTTTTTGAATCTCCTATGAAAATTTTGCTTTATGCTGATTGTGTGTGATTAATTTTTTTCATCATTCCATACGAAATAAGCTTAATGTTTACTAAAATAATAATAAAACAATAATTTCCTTTAATCACTGCAAATGCTGTAATCATTTCTGAAAACTAAACTGCTAGATACATATTTTCATTTTAGAAGTTTAACCATGTGCTTTGCTCATAAATTCTTACGTTCATGTAAAAATAATTTTCCAGTTTCTTGTCAAGGGAGCAAAAATTCTTAAGAATTTTCTTGCCTAAAGGAATGAAAATTCTTCCTAAATTGTAGTCAAAAGTCGTTAATCCGGACTCGACGGGACTTTGGCGATTCCGGATTATCGATTTTTCCGGATTATAGATCATCAGTTTAAATCTGGTAAATGGCATGCAGAAATTATAAAATTAAAAATATGAAAACGTAATTTATGAAATAAAGAACAATTATGATCTAAAGGGTATCAAAATTTACAAAAAAAAAAAAAAAAAAAAAAAAAAAAAAAAAAACAACTTAATATTTATTTGTTTACTTTATTAAACATTTCTTTCAATGTAAGTTGTTTAAGTTGCTTCGTTTCACGTGATAATACTTTCTCTTTAATTCTATAAACAGACATAATTTCTTCTTCAGTTACAAAGTTCCGCCATTCAAGTCCTATAATTGCTGTGCCGAGAATACCGATTAATTTGTCAATCGAAATTTTTTCATTTTCAATAACTTCTGTGTCACTTTCTTCACTATCGGAAGCAAATTATAATGCCGAGGAATTTGATTTAAATCATATCAAAGACGGAGTACATCGAAATGAAATACTACATTTAGTAAGGAATTATAAACCAAATAAAATAAAAACATCTGCCCTGAAGATAAGGATAGTGCTGGCAGATAAACTTCCAATTCATTGCGCGCCGAGGCGTTACCCCCCCCCCCGCCGCAGAGCAGCGTGAAATTGATAAACAGATTTCAGAACGGTTAGAGAAACAAAAGTTACGCCTTTATCCATTTTTTGCAGCAATTTCACTTTTTGTTTAATGGACTTCGAAACATACTTTCACTTTGTAGATCCTTTATATATTAGTAAATATATATCTGTAATTTTATTTGACATAATCGAAAGTTCAAGCTTACTTTTATAAAATTGCTCTAACAGTCTGCAAAAAATAATAAGCCGGATCCAATTCGAAGATTAAGGAACAACGCAATCTGCAACATTAACTGAATTAGATAATTTTAGCTTAGCTTATACCATCCATTATACATTAAACGTGCATGCGTAAACGTATTATGCGAATGCACACATGCATATTCGCAGCCGTAGAGGTCTTATGCGTTTGCGTCAACGCGACGCATGCGCAGAAAGTTTGTAGCTTTGAAGTCCGGATTATGGATGTCCGAAATTAACGACTTTTGACTGAATTTTTATTTTTAAAAAACTTATTATTTCCTTTATTAAAGTATGTACAGTAATTAATAAACTCAGTTTTATGCACTATTGAATTTTCAGATAAAAAAATAAAATTTTACAATTAGAGGTTTTACTTAATTTTATAAAAACAAATTTGAACAAGATTTCATGAAAAACATCATAAATAGTAAATTTTTCACTCTTATACATATAGCCTAGCTATAAACTACTACCTGACCAGTTAAAGTATAAAACTGCAAATACAAATTAAGTTGTATTTAGCTTTTTAATAGACAAAAATTAATTAGCTACTAATGTGACTAATTAGTTTATACTCATTCAAAAATATATTAATGCAAATCAAACTAAATCATTACTCTGAAATTTGCAGAACACTTAAGGGCTGTTCAGACTGGGGTTTACCTGAGCTAATGGAATCAGTTTTATATGTCAACTAGCTCCGCTATGCATGCAGTTCAGATTTTTCAACTTGCTACCCTATGGGAAAAAACTGGTTTTGGAGATAGGTCAACTACGTCAGATGTCTCCATTAGCTCAGATAAACCCTAATCTGAACGGCCCTTTAGAGGTACACTGCAGCTCTTGTCAGATGACATTATTCCAGCTTAGTCCATCAAAGTCAACAATAAAATTAATTTATGTAATAGTTAAAACACATGTTAATACTCTAAACACAGATACACAGATAAAAATAGAAACAACAGTACATTTTTACAGCAAACTATCAAATACAGCAATAAATCTAATAAAAACAATAAACAAAAAATTTAAAATTAGTAAGTAAAATAGCTTTACTGAATTTATCTCGAATTAAATTCAAAGATTAAATTTGCCAATAATAACCCGACACCCATAGAACTATGCTTATTTGAAGCGCAAATGGTATTGGTAAAATACAGGTTTGTCATTTACTGCCATCTCAGCTTCTGCTATCTCTCCTACTAAGTTTCAATAACTATCTAAAGGTATTTTGCATCATTCCCTTCTTTAGCATGATGAATAGCTCTATGTTAGTTTTTGGGCAATTATGTTAAACTCACAGCCACTACTTCACTTCATTCCCAAAATGCTCAGTTGTATTGTGATCAGAGCTTTGGGCTAGCTAAATCTAGTTCTTTTACTTCCACCTTCTCAAACCAGCCAGCTAGGATGCTTGCTTAATGAATAAGTGTTTTATGGCAGAATGGAATTGTCCAGTTTAATCACTCAGTTAGCTAGCATTCAGTGTTAGTTACAAGCACAAAAAGTAGTGGATGAAATTGAAACCAAGTAAAACAGACTCGCACTGAAATGCTTTTTCTGCCATATTTCCCAATGGGCGCAATGCATTTAGTAAGCTGTGATCCCCTCGTAACTGCCATTGATCTTCGTAATATTTAGTGTGATTCCACTTTTCACAAGAAGTTCTCTCACTGATTTACTGTCCATTGGTGACACACTTTACATCACCACAACTGGGGGGCAAAATTTCTTGTAGTGAACATTGGTATATGTGCTACAGCCCAGCAATGGAATCCAACTGCAAATACTTCTAGACAGATACAACTAAATCTGACATCATTTCCTGAAGCCAATCAAAAGTCTGTACCTAAAGTTTTTAATGAGGTCTGTTGGTTTATCTATATCACATGCGAAAAGCATTGATAATCCCAAACTATCAATATTTTCAGATTCTCAGGCCAGGATTAGAGTTTTATGACTCCTTCATCTTTCTAATTTACCACTTTTGCTCATAGTGCCTAGAGATTCCCAGAAATCTTACAAATAAAATGAGTGAATCATTAAGTCCAACACCATATAATGGTCAGTCTCACTCAGCTGGCACTCTGAACTCATTTTGCGAGCAGTAACTGGTACGCATGTAATTTTGAATCTGAAGACTTTTTTTGGATTTTGAGGTATATGCAGTGGTGAACTTTAGGAGGCTCATGAGAATTCTTTTTTAAATTTTTCTCTAATTTGTAAGGCTCAGGTTCTATTTATTTGCTTGCTTATTCATTTTAACAAAAACACATGTTATAATCACATACCGACTTATATTAATCTTTCTTTTCTTAAAAATTACGAGTATTAAATCAGGTTTCATTTTAGCTTGGTCAAATGGTTTATTGGCAATTTTAAATTTAGACAGGTGCCAGAAAATGATTCTCAGGATTTTTATGAGATGGCTTTTAACAGGAAAAGTGCATATGGAAACTATCACTATTATTTGAGCTAAACAAGCTTTCAGGCACAATAAACAGGACTGCCACAAGATTTTTTTTTTTTTTTTTGAATTAAATACCATATTTTGGATTTAATGACATATACTTAAATTGGAAACATTTTAAGAAAATTACATCCTAATCCTCAAAAAGCTTTTTTGAAAACCATTGCTTGGCCTTAGAACCTCCTAGAAGATCAACCGATGTGGAAGAAAATAATAATGTGAGGCAACTTTAGGCATAGATTATGCCACGTAATTCAATTTACTTCTCATTTTATTTTATTTCTATGACTGCTAAATTTTGTAAATTTTAACGAGTTTTCATTATTTTTTTAATGTTTTCTTGTTCAAGCACAATTATTTAAATTTTCTTGTTTTTCTAAAAGTAAAATGTTTGGTCAAAATTTGATATTTTCTTTTCATAAGATAAAGAGTTTTATTAAAATTTTCTTAGCTCATTGTTGCATATACAGATCATATATAGCTGATACTACTTATGTTCCAATGGGTATCAGTTGATTAATGGTAATTTGACAAAAGGAAAATTTAAAATTTCACAAAAAATATCAATATAATGCAAAGTTAAATCACATGATAAATGACCATTATGAAATATCAAATTACACAACACACTGCGCAATTTTTACATTTTAAACTAAAATCATAGCCACTGATGATTTCTTAGAAGGTGTAACTTAAGTTCACTTTTTTGTATATATGATTTAGAACACATATGGCAATTAAAAGGTTTTTCTCCTTTGTGACGCATCATATGAACACATAAATTGTATTTTTTTGCAAATGCTTTTCCACAGTAGCCACAATTGAATGGCTTCACTCCAGAATGAAGACGCATGTGGTCAACTAAACTACTCTGACGAGTGAATGTTTTGCCACAATCTTGACATGCTATGCTATTTTTCAATTTTCCAGGACATATATGCTTTAATAACTGTGTATGAAGCTGAAAGGATTCAAAGCAGTTACTACACTGAAACATTTCACTTGTGATTTCAGAAAGTCTCTTTTCCATGATTCTGCAGTTTTCATTAAAATCTGTCTCACTAGAAGATCCATAACCTGTTTTGGAGAACACATTCAATATATTATTCATTACATTCAAAATAATTGACTGATGGTAAGGAAAGAACAAAAATAACAAACATTAATAATGCATGTATTTTTTTAAATATCATTAAATGATTTTTTTAATTGGTTACAAAATTCTAGGAAAAATAAATCATAACAAAAATATGAACAAAAAATACTTTCAACATAAGCTGCAATTTATCAGAAAAAATATTTAAACAAAATCAAAACGTACAATGAAATTATATGGTTCTGAAGCATTTGAAAACTATAATAATTTACTAGTGTTCACACTTCAAAGAGAGGTTTCATTCTGTGGGAATTCCCAAGTATTTAGACAGCAGTTTTAAAAAGTATAGTTAAAATTACCGAAAACTATAATAATTTATTAATATTCATACTTCAAAGTGAGGTTTCATACCCTGGGAATTCCCAATTATTTAGATAACAGTTTTAAAAAGTATAGGTAAAATTACTGAAAATAATATGTTAAACAATGTTTCAATGGCAAATCGTTTTTCCTTTTGTGTGCAGCTATTTAGGTTCCTTTCATACCTCTTGAGTTCTACTAAAAATTTTCAGGCTTTTGTCTTACTTTCTTATCATTCTCATCTTCTTCATTGCTGAAACACTTCAGTAACAGGTCTTGGTTTAGACAAAATAATTACATAAACTTTTATTGTTCCTGTAAAAAAATATAGTATAATATTCATCACAAGCATACATATATTTTATAACAATTTATTGGTAGACAAATGTACATAGTCATATAGGTAAAAAAAAAAAAAATAGAACTGTCATGGCAAAAATGAATCTTTAATAATACTGGTATTCTAAAAGCTATAGAAATTTCTTCCTTTTGAACAAAAATTCCATGAATAATTGTAAATGCTTTACAAATGAATTTCTTTTAAATAATTTCTAGGGGTTATTATTATTATTTTTAACTAACCTTTAATTTTATATTTTGGATTTTTACTGTCACTTCTCATTTCCATTTCCCTACCAGAATTTAAATGAAGTGGAAAAAGATAGTATTCAAAGGAACGTTTTTGGGAATTTAATTCAGAGCATATTCTGCCTCTCAAGGCCACATTACTAGGTTAGCTAGCTCAGATAAAGTTGTATTATTCAGCCTCGCACTATAGTTGCCGCTATTTAAATTACTATGTCGATAGAAAGTTTTAAGTCAACTTCACAGCTATTTGACAGTATGCAGTCTTAGACTACTACTAGCTCATTTAAATTAAATTTGAACTTATTATTTCTTTAAGTTATCTTGCCACAGACGGCTGTTGGAGTTTGTAAGCAAGAGTTGTGCAGTTATTTTCGAAGTTCTGACGTAATAAAATGATTTGTTTTAAAAGCCTCCTAAGATTTTGTAGTTCTGCTCAGGCATGTGGTAATTTACTTACCTCTGTTAGGAGCTGAATGCTAGTTTATGCTACCAAAGCAAGTCAAACTTGATAAACTTATACCTGCAATACAGATTATCTTTCTAAAATATAATTCACGGAGAAACAGAGATATTCTAAGAAATTTTTTTTTTACATGTTGACAACATTAATGAAGAGAAAAATGGCTAATGATATGTTCAGAGGATAGAAGCAAACATGACAAGAGTGTGAAGATTTCAATATTAATACAAAATTAAGATCAATTAAGTCATAATTTTGTTTTACTTCTATCGATTGGTTAAAAGCTTTCATTTGCAGATTTATCACTCTATTGGATAAAACACTTAAGTTTCACTTTTGCTGCTAAAAAATTATGTGTGTTATTAATATTAAATAAGAATCAAACAATATAAAATAATTTTGAAATAATGCAGTTCAGAACAATTTGTTAAAAGCATATTAGCATATTATTATTTTATAGTTATATATGTACCTATGCAGAAAAATAAAAATACAGTGAAGTGAAAATTTTGAAATACAGGAGACTTTCAACAATTATTAACCTGCAGTAAAAGTAGAATATATAAATTCAAATTTGTTGTGAGCAGGGGAAAGAAAAGCATTTAATAAAATTAATTTTCCACATCCAAAGCTAATATAATTATGACGAGATGATTGCAAGTAGCTGGTTTTCCAGGTGCCAAATTTTGACAACCATGCACATAACCATTCTTCAGGCATTCATGCTCATAACAATTATTGACAATCTTTCAGATAACTATGTTCCACAATCCTTCAGTTAAGCAATGCCGTCATTCTCCCACATGCATTCTCTTTCTCATATTCCTGATTCCAATGGTTTGTATTGTTAAATTGTGATATTTTTTGCCTTAAAATCAATTTTAAAATATGTACTTGAAAAATTCGCCAGCTATGGGAGAAAAGTGAAGTAAAAATTTCTGCAATAATACAGAGTTTTGTCACAAAATCACTAAAGAAAACAAGGTGCATTTGGTAGAGAGATGGCATTGCCTAAGTTTGCACAATTCATTGATTTTTTTTTTTTTTTTTTAAGCAGAAATAGATGGATTTTTTCCTTCTTTTCTGTGACTATATCAAAATCAAAATACATCATCTACAAGGAGCATAAAATTGCACGTTTCAGAGCAAACCTGCAAATTTTGCTGTGATACTTAGATAAGAAATCTGGGATAGCTAATTCATAATAATGACCTCCAGGCATCATTTGCTCGAAGAACTGCAATGAAGAACTATTAGGAGACTAGAAGTAGGGCAAAGTCAGACAAAAGTAATCAGATAGCTAAATGTGAGTCCTTCTGTGGTTCACAGGCTTTGGTAACAATTTTTAACAACAGATTCTGCAACAAGCAGGTTCAACTAAGGACAGCCAACCACTGATGGTCGATATTTGTTATTATGCATCCAAAGGAATAGAACCTCAACTCAACTCAGATTCCCCCTTACTGCAGGCACTGGAAGGTTGGTGTCAATGTCAATCACGCGCAAAAGGCTTCACGAAGGATGTCTGTATGTGAGGCAGCCAGCCATTTGCATGCCACTCATGTCACATCATAGAAGGGAACATTTGAGGTAGGCACATCAACATGTCCACTGGACGGCTGATGGATGGAAGGCTGTTCTCTTTACAGACGAGTCCAGGTTTAGTCTCCAAAGTGATTGTAGGCATTATTTGATTTGGAGAGAACTCATTATCCTCCATCAAACATTTGTGATAGAGATGCATACGAAGGAGGCAATGTCTTTGTTTGGAGTGGTATTTCTTTGGGAAAAGAGCTCCATGTCTTTCCACGTGGTACCACGAATGCTCAGCCCTATAAAGATGACATTCTTGATACTTATGTATGCCCTTATGCTGGGGCACAATGCTAGACTGCACAGGGCTCACATTATGGATGATTAGCTTCAGCAGCAAACAATTCAACACATCGATTGGCCAGTTCGATCACCAGACCTGAATTCTATCGAGCATGCTTGGGATGCTTTAGGAAGAGCTTGCTCTCAGGCCTCTTAGACCCTTGCCACACTTTCAACTGCTTTGCAAAAGCAATGGGTCTCACTTCCTACAGATCTGATAGACTGTATAATTGACAGCAACACATAGCGCTGTATGTGTTGCATCGACGACCAGTGCCGTCTGGTTATCCCAGGTGGTGCGTCTCACTCTCCAAGGTGCTAAAGCGGAGGTTGAACCTTCGCACCTCGAGCTGAGGGGGGTGGGAACCTGCATATGCGGTTAAGTCTCGCATGCAGGGCAGCCATAATTGTTGTTGTATGTGTTGCATTGCTTCTAGGGAAGATGATACTCCATATCGAATGTAATTTTCCTATACCAAACTGATACATCCAATTTGTTCATTTTAACATATGCAAATTTCTATAACACCATTACTGTCTGACAATTTCTTTTCATGTTGTTTTATACCTTGCTATGTGTTGTATACTGGGGGTCAGTTTCATTAAGTTCTACATATAACTTTTAGAGTAAACTAATTTTTGTGATTTTTCCTTTTCTTTTGTGATTAATGGATAGTCAATGTATATCTATATTTATTTAAATAATGCATATAGATTATATACAGTCAAAAGTCTTTAATCCGGACTTGTCGGGATTTCGGCGATTCCGGATTATCGGTTTTTCCAGATTATAGATCATCAATTTAAATCTGGTAAGATGGCAGGCAGAAATTATAAAATTAAAAATATGAAACCATAATTTATGAAATAAAAGAGCAATTATGATCTAAAGGGTATCAAAATTTACAAAAAAAAAAAAAAAAAGGGCTTAATACTTATTTGTTTACTTTATTAAACATTTCTTTCAACGCGCACATGCGTAAAGTATACATTACGCATAGTCGAAATTAGAAAACTGCAACCAGAAAACTATTTCATGTGTATTCGTGATATTTATAATGATGAGGAATTTGATTTAAATCATATCAAAGACGGAGTACATCGAGATGAAATACTACGTTTAGTAAGGAATTATAAAGTGAATAAAATAAAAACATATGCCCTGAAGATAAGGATAGTGCTGACAGATCAACTTCTAGTTCATTGCATACCGCGACGTCACCCCCCCCTCCCCGCAGAGCAGCATGAAATTGATAAACAGACTTCAGAATGGTTAGAGAAACAAAGGATATGCCTTTATCCATTTTTTGAAGCAATTCCACTATTTTTTTGATGGACATCGAAACATGCTTTCGCTTTGTAGATCCTTTGGCATCTCCAGAATTGGAAATTTTTTTTGACATAATCAAAAGTTCAAGCTTATTTTTATAAAATTGCTCTAACAGTCAGCAAAGAAATAATAAGCCGGATCCAATTAGAAGATTAAGGAACAATGCAATCTGCAACATTAACTGAAATAGATAATTAGATAATTTTAGCTTAGCTTATACCGTTCGTTATACATTAAATGTGCATGCGTAAACGTATTACGTGTATGCGTAAATGCATATGCGCATGTGTAAAGGTATTATGCGCACGCAAAAACGCATATGCACATACAAACTACAAACTTTCTGTGCATGCATAAACGCATAATGCGTTTATGCATGCACAGAAAGTTTGTAGCTTTGAGGTGCGGATTATAGATCATTCTGGATTATAGATGTCGGGATTAAAGACTTTTGACTGTATTTTTATTCAGAAAAGTTAATTCATAATGTTAAAAAAAAAACTTCATTTTACTTTCATTATAACAACAAACATTGTACAGTAGTACATTTCAATAGGATGTATTTCCCAAATTAAAAAAAAAAAAAAGAGCACAAATACAGATGTCCACTACGTGAAAAGAAAGCCCAATATCTAAATCTTCACACCAGAAGACAAAAAATAAATAGTAGAATAAATTAAAAATAACAATAAAACAAAATTCCCCCCTCCCTTACGAAACCTAGGAATGGTGTGCTGCAAAATGCAAATTTTTAACCAGTGTAATCTCTGCAGGTCCTAAATTACACTGCCTGGTACTTCTTTAAATTATAAATTTTTTTTTCCTTTCCTAAATTCTAAAAATTTTGCCAGCCCTAATTTTTGCTACTCCGAGCTCATTTTTTAAATTCTAAAAAATTCCCTTAAATTCTACCTCCTAGTGCAGCTGCAGTGACCCTGCTGGGCAGTTAGTATTCTTCTATATGGCTTAAGCAAAGCTTCAATGTTCCCATGTCTACATGTCATCTTACCAGATTCAAACTGATCAACTAAAATCAGGAATTGCCCAAGTACCGGCAATTTTGGATATCAGATTTTGAACTGTATAATCAAATGAGAAAATGCATTTAAATCCTACAGCATTTATAAAAATATGAAAATACTAAACTTAACAATATTTTTCTATCAAATATTAGAATAGAATTTACAGTACCTGAATGAAATAAATTCAGAAATGCCTATTTACTTTTCCAAACAATAACTAACCCAAGGTTTATTTAACATCTAGTTTCTTGCAATTTCTTTTGTCCTGGTTGATTAACTTCTTTCACTGAATTCCATAAAGATATATAAGGATGTAACAAAAGACATGTAACATTAATACTAAAACATGTTAAATTAATAACTTAACATGTAACATTAATAACTACTAAAACATAAATTTTAAATTACAACTTTAATATGTTACTGTATTTACTTTTGTATTATCCCTTGTGTATTTTTCCTCGCTATAGCATAAGGTTCTGAAAAAAAATTTTAAGTACTTGCATAGTTTTTCCCTTCTTTAAGGTGTTCAGAAAGCAAGTTTTGCTAAATTTTAAAATGGATTCCTTCACGTGGTGGTTGTTTTCCTCTTACTAATTAATTTGCTCATGGATTTCAGGTGAAAGAGATCTGATTGATGAAGAAATAACAATGAAGATCTTCAAAAAAAAACAGGAATACCTAATATTCTTGATTGTTCTGTGAAGGTCAACGCACATGGGAAGACAGACAAAGGTGATAAAGACAGTGATGATGGTGACTTAACTTACAAGATATAGTGGACTAAACAGGCAGCAGTTCCAGCAGCACTAACCTCCTGAGCGCCGTAACCGGCTTTATCTGGTCATGAGATGTTTTGTCACTTGGTATATATTATATTAGCTTATAATTTAAGATATTTTGCTTTCTTACTTTCTTTAACTACATAAATATCATCTTAATAAATTAAAGTTTATAAAAATGAGGACTAAAACAAACATACAAATTTACCCAACAAAAGAGTGTTTAAATACAGGTCTTCATGTCAAATCCAAAAACCCATGCCATTCAGACAGTCAAATGATTTGAGGCTTTGGGAGTAGCAGCAGACAACAGTAAGAATGGGTGAGTTTCATGGGTATAGAAATAGAGATATCTTATTAGATATTGTAATGTTAATATGACTATGTATTCTTAATGGAATGCAAGTTCCTTTTAAATAAATAATACTGCAATAATTACCGAAAATTTATCCATGGATGCTTTTTACGTGTTATGTTCTTATTGTAACAGCATCCGTTTGAAATTAAATTATTCACATAACTTTCTCTTATTGATTTTCGTACAATAAAAAAATTAGTAAAAACGGGGCAGAAATACATGAGCAAATATGATATACAGCACAAAGTCCGTAATCCGGGCGTCCATTATCCAGAATGATCTATAATCCAGACCCTCAAAGCCACAAACTTTACGCATGCGCGCGTTGAAAGAAATGTTTAATAAAGTAAAATAAATGTTAAGCTTTTTTTTGTAAAAATTTTATACCCTTTAGATCATAATTGCTCTTTATTTCATAAATTACGGTTTCATATTTTAATTGTATAATTTCTGCATGCCATCTTACCAGATTTAAATTGATGATCTATAATCCGGAAAAACCTCTAATCCAGAATCGCCGAAGTCCCGACGAGTCCAGCTTACAGACTTTGTACTGTATTATTTAAAAATATCCTATACAAATATTAATTATACCTTCTTACAAACTATACTATGCAAAAGACATGATACTCTCTAAATGACAGTACTTAATTACACATATAATTTAAATCTGAACAGTAGTTGTGATTATATTATTTATTTTAACAAGAACCGCACTACTTATGATATAGTTTACAGGTCATTAAAAAACTGCATGCATAACAAATTTTTCAAAAACAAATAACTGATAAATAACTAATAAATTTTTTGAAAGCAAATAAACTTCTGCAGCACTCTGCAGAAGTTTAAATAATGTTCTCAAAATCAGCGCTAATCCTTTCAAGTTTTTCTGTTTCTTTAATTCACTGATATTTGAAGAATAGTAAAAATACATCTAATATTTTCTGAACCAATATTTCAGTCAGAAAAACTTCTAAAAATATTAAATGTTAAAAACATGCAGTTTCAGAGATCATGCTCAAAATTTCCATGCTTACTACATGCAAAGCTTTTATAATTTGACCAGTTATAATAATAATGATTTAAAAAACTGATCAGACAGTAAAATCAGTTTTAATATGTTACGTTCAAAAATACAATTAAATTAATATCTACTTTAGTAAATAAAAATGTTTTTATTTTCTGACATTTTTATAAAATCACTTTTATTTATTTATTTATTTTTATTATTTCCAACTTTTAAACCTTACTTTGACTAAATTTACAAGTAATGTGGTAAATTATTTATCAATTAAATAACTAAGTACTATATAGCCAAAATGTAGAATTAATCATTTAAACTTTTTTTTTTTTTTTTTTTTTCCCATTATTGCAGACATATTTTTCCTGTCGAATTCTCACACCACCACCACAGATGGAAAACTTGCAATACTTCTTTAACAATAAACTATAAAAATGCTAAATAACTTGATATCATTCCTGAACAAAAGAGGAAAAGTCCAGTATCTGATTTTTGAGGACAGACATGAAAAACTAAAATATGAAGTTTACAAAATTTAATGTACTTTAAAATATTGTACCGGAATCTGCAGATCTCCTTAAAAGTGGAAGCAGAGCTGAAATTGTGCCAGAGCCTGGCTCTGGTACTTCTCAGTTTTGGGGATAAATTCTAATTCTACTAATGCTAGGTGGAGCGTATCGGAGCCCTAAATATGAAGGCTCTGGCACTTCTTTTATGCAATTGAACAACAATTTCAGTAGAAATTTTGATTTCAAAAATTTTATTTTTTACAATTAATTATATTAAAAATCGCTTATTAAATTTTAGTTCATTTCTTAACATTTTACTAATTAATATTGAATTATCCTAATCTCATTATTTATAATATAACTAATTTATTTTACTTACTTAATAATATGATTATTAATTAAATAATTGATAACTGTTAATTAAGCAATTATGAATTAATTTGATAATTATCAACTATTTAATTTTTAAATTATTAATGATTTTCAAAGTCATTTATTTATTGATTTACTTTTGTTCCTCTTTGCTGATGGTCTTCCATAGGCTCCGGCACTTCTAATTTTAGAAATTAAGCTCTGAGTAGAAGTTCAGAATCTGAAAGAATCACAGGAAATAAAAGGTAATTGTTAGCTACTTAGGATTTGAAAACTAATTAAATGACCTTTATGAGGTGCTAAAACAAACACATTTCATGGTATTTCTTTAATAAAGTGGTTACCATGTTTAATCACCACAACAGACAAAGTTTACTGTCCAATCTGTAACATGCAAATTTTGGACATTGCCAAAGACTTAAGCAGTGGCCACTTTAACAAGGAACTATTTTTTTCACCATATAATGCATGATTACCTGTTAACAACTTAAGAGCTGGAAAGTGTTTTCTGTATCCATGCATGCCATCTCTCAGAATAATATTTCACATCTTTCAGACATGATAATATCCCCCTTCATGTCATTCACATATTGATCTATTCCAAATTTCTAATGATTAATACCTTATGATTTAATGGTAAATGTCACACAGACTGTAACATGTCAGGCTCAGTTAAAATAAGACCATTAAAAGCACATAATATAATTAAATCTGATGGTAAGTAGATGAGGGAAGTGAAATGTGACCATTGTCTTTCAGCCAGAAGTTACTTGAATGATTTGAGAGAGTTTCAAATCCACTATGAACTAAAGCATCGAATATAAAAGTCATCCATAAAGAAGCAAAACTATACCATATAAAGGAATACCATGCAAATGAAGTACATAAAAAATTACAATTTACAAAAATAAAACTAATAAAAAAGAATATTGATGAATGTATGCCTTCTATATATATGCCTGAAATCCTCTTGTCTTTAAGATGTAAATAATGATATATAACAGAAAATGAAAGACAATGCATTCTATAATGAAAAACATTTACTTTGGTTAAAACATCCTATATATGGCACTAAATTTTACATGTGAATAGTTGAATAAAGAGAAGTAAATGTTGATACGAAACAAATAATTACTGTAATAATATTTTCAGAACAATCTTAAGCATGCAGAATTATAAATGAAATTAGTTTTGAAAATTTTTCAAAGTATTTTTCTTCTTTATAAAAATAATTTAAACCACTCATTTTAAGAGGAATATTATAAATGCCAATTCCTTAACTAGGACTCAACCACATCTCTTAAATAGATCACTTTTCTTTTAAATAACAAATATATGTGACTTTATTAAAAAAAGTCACATATATTTGTTATATGCTTTATTAAAAAAGTCACATATATTTATTATATGCTTTATTAAAAAAGTCACAGCTAATTACTACTTAAAAGATTTCATTCATGCATTTCTTAAGGGCATATAATTTAACACAAAGGGGCATGTGAAAGATAAAATAAAACACAAATACAACAAAGATAGATCTTTTTCATGACTGTAAGATTTATTACACACTTGCTTTGAATATGCCAAATCAGATTAAATATACATTTTAAAAAGCTTAACTGCATGTTGATATTAATATGTAGATTTTAACATTAATCCAAAAGTACAAAGTTTTATTCTTATCAGAAAATAATTCCACTGGAATGATAAAGCTTTACCATTGTTGCATCACTTAATAAAAACTTAAATACATGTATAAATTATTTAAAACTTTAAAGGGTAAATATATCATTTAAAGAAATTAATAATCAGTTCATTAATTGAATAAAAATTTAAATTCCACTACTTTAAAATGAAAAATTTTAAATCCTGAGAAATTGTTCTACTTATAATTTCAATAGAATATTCAGTATTATTTATGGAATAATGTATGTATGAAATAATGTTTTATGTTTTACAGAAAATGCAGTCCTCTAAATATAAATTCTCTTTTCTAAAAGAAAGTGCAAGATTCTGGTACGACGGGTTCGGCAAAAATAAAGTAATATCAGTTCTAACAAGCGATAAAATCACCTAATTAAGATAATAATTATGCATCTGACATTTGACTTGGATTCATTTCAATGTATGATGCATATTTTTGTCATTAATGAGAATGTATCGAATTTAAATGGAAACAAGACAAAGTGTCAGTGTCAAAAGTATATGTATGATAATATATATGTATGATCACTAAATTAACAAAAATGCTCTATGTTGTTACGATCGCGATTTTTTGACACTGACTGCAGGGGAGCTGTTTGAAAAAATTTCATACACCTTATTTATTCATCTTTTTTATTCTTGCATACATATGCCCTTTTTTATGTTAAAAAACCAGTTGCCAATTTTCGACCATCTTAAATTTTTAGTAAAATTTTTGGAATAAAATCAAGGATAAATTGCATATCCTTATATGCAGGAGCATGAAATTACAACAGAGTTTATAAAGATAATGGGAAAATAAAATTATTTTACTATATTCCTTTGTATATCCAATCCATTTATATGCATTCAAGTTGTAAACCGAAGCCCTTTGAAAGTTAATTTTTATCTAGATTATATTTATTATTTTTAATATACATAACACTGGGCGTTTATTTCCTTAACGACTTGAATACATTTGATGACTGTCATGAACAGATGTTCTTCTGTCATTGATTTACTGACGCCAAAGCTAAAAAATTTCGCCAATTCGGTCTCATTGTAGACGAGCAACATTTATTTACCGTTAAAAAATATTTAATCAGTAGTTATCCGCAATAAAATATATGCAGGTGTTTAAATTACCTTAAATAAAAATTGGACCTAAAGGCTGCAAATATTTGTAACGTCGCTTTAATTTTTTTCATGAAAAAAATATTCAAATTAATATCATAGTTGAGAACAGATTTCACTCACATTGAACGAAATATTTTGCACAATTCATTTCAGTCAGTAAGTAGTATTTTTAACTATAATATTAACGATACATGTGTGATAATAATCAAGATCTTATTCATTCTTGATGCTTAAAGAGAATAAACAGCAAATATCTGCATTTCCTTTTCATAAAATTAAAAATTGCATGCAGAGAAAGATAAATCTTTTCCTTTCTAGCAAATATAATACAGTATTCGTTCGTGTTTACTTACATGCAGGTAATGTTAAGTTTTTTAAATAATAAGCAAGAGTTCCAGTAATCGCATATACAATGGTCGACGTTTCGTAGCCCACATTTAGATTGGCGATTATATTTGGCTATGAGATAAATAATTAACACTCGAAATTACAGTTCAACGGTTGTCATGTGCTTACATTTGCTTGCAGGTGAAAACAGTCGCAAAAATTCCTGTAGAAATAAATAAGATCTTATCCATTCATAATAGAGTAAGTTTATTATAATGAAAAAAGGTTGATGATATTTCATGTATCTGATTAAACTGCATTATTTTCTTTGATTTTTTTATCAATGAAGTAAAAAAAAAAAAAAAAAAATTGTTACTTAAAAATTTAATTTTTGTGCTCGATTATGTTAGTACAGACCTTTTCCGTATCGTGCTATGAAAAATTAGCCAAATGTAACAAAACGTTTGTAAATAATTAATACGTTTTCATGCTAAGTTTTGGAAGTTACTCATATGCTGATAATTATGTATGCATATATTTGGAATCTTTAAATTTAAGATGCTGATAATTGGAAGTAATGATTCATGAAAGAAAGTAAATAGTAAATATATATGAAATAGAAACGCGCCAATTTAAAAATTTACTGTAAAATGAGACTTACTGTAAAGGTGTTATTTCCCCAAATTTATTTAATTAAATAGATTAATCGATATATTTTGCGAGACCAGGAGCCCAATTGTATATCAATCTTATCAAAAATTTAAATACATTTATTGCATTTGTATTAAACTAATTTAGTTGGTATTGATTACATTAAGTAGTTTGTTTTTAAAGAATTCACTTATTGTAAAGCTGATTATCTATGAGCTGCAAGAAAAATACATATATATTATTTGAATGAATAATTAACATTTCATTTTAGTGTTATCTCCTTTGTATGGTTTTGTATCTCAGTTTAAAATTAATAGCTTTTATGTCTCAACTGGCAGTGTAAGGCACATGGTATATAAATATTTGTTACTGGATAAGTGGAAGAATTCGAACATTGTTTTTATCTCCTTTGTGCATATCTGCATTCCAACTTAATATAAAAGTAATTAGCAGTTTTTATGTTTAAAGACTATGATATGAAGAAATTACTTAGCATGTAAAATGACTATACGAAGAGGACGAGGTAAATAAATTAGGCTTTTGCTTTTGGGAAATGTGATATAAATAAGCTTAGTATCTTAAGTGGGCAAACATTATCCACATACCCAAAGAAAATACTTTACAGTTTAAAATATAAATTTCAATTATTAAATGAGGATTAATAAATTATATGATACATTAAAAATAATATACATTTTTCATAAATTTTTGAAGTCATATTATTATAGAAAGGTGATTTTACTGCTGGTTCATATTATGCAAAAATATATGTTTCAAGCAAAGCACTGTTTGTTGATCAAAGCAGTGACGTATTTTATCTCAGCTATAAGTACCATTCTGAATATATGTCAGTTTAAAAAGCACAGAAAACAGCTGTTAGTATACCAAGTGCAGCAGTTTGCTTTTATGTGCATATATGTCAGTAACATAAGTAATTCATTAATTTTATTTAAAAGTGTAAATTTTAAACTCAAGATGTAGTTTATAAAAAAGTGAAATTGTTTGTATGAATAAAGAATATTATAATTCCATCATCATTTAAGTAATTAAAAAAACTGTAAACTATTCTGCACATTTGTAAGTATGCAGGTTTTTTTCTTTACTTATCCGCCAAATCGATATAAATTGCTAATTAAAAATGAATAGATATAATTGTATTTGGCAGTATAGCATAATTTTTTTTACTTAACGTAACTTCAAAATACTGTGAGATTTTGTCAGAATGTACAATGACAAAATCTCACAGTACAGTAAATGTACTGTGACAAAACAGTAAATGTACATAGTACAGAGAGCGGGCATCTCTCAAAAATTAGCAAGGAAATCGAGGCTTAAGTTCTTGGCAAATTTCATATCCTTAAAATTCCTCCTATTACGTTACTTATATTTTTAATGCTACGTTACTTTGTGAGGGAATTTATTCATAAAAAAATATTTGTCGGACTAATGCAATAAAGGAATCTACAGCAGATATTAAGAACAAAGAGCAGGTTTTTGTTATTTTTTTTCTCTGTTGTATTTCTTAAAAAAAAAAAAAAAAATTTGGTACTTTTCCGTTTCGCCCACGCAAATCTCGCCAAGCAGACTTTGTTGGCAACAACTTATAGGTATACACATATTAAATTTTAACAAATGTTAGTTCTAAGAATTTTTTATTTTGAAGGCATAAACATTTTAATACTATTTAAAATGTAAAAATCCAATAAATAAAGACAATAAATTTGTAAAAAGACATTAATTTAAGAATTTACTATGCTTTCATGGAAACATCCTGATTCTCCACTTTGTATCACGTGACCCCGAGTGATCTCATCTCGCATAAACTACATTACAAAAAGCTAATTCTCTCAGTAATTATCTACATTAATTTCAAGTTAAATCTGAATTTTGAATACAAGTTTAAATGCAAGAATTATTTTAATTCACACAAATAGCTTACTCATAAATTATGTAAAACAGCAGTGCTTTACTTCGCTAGTGCATTCTCATTAGAATTTGATGAATTTAACCTTAGATTTTGCCTTTTCTTTATATTCGCCTTCGGGTGAGCGGTGTGATTGCACTCTAATTGACTTAATTACTGCAAATGGTCTTAGGGCATAAAATTGAACTATCTTGTAAAAATTCTATGTAATTGTATGCCAGTATTAAAAGAAACAATCAGTTTGATAAGAAATGGCTGCGAATTGTTTTGAAAATGAGGCGTAAAAGGTTACTAGTGAAGATATTCCGTTTGGCATCAGTTGTACCATTGTTGGTGACTTTATCAATTGTGCCTGCAAAACAGAAAAGTACCACAAAATTTTACAGCTGTTATAAAAAAGCATTGAGTATATTTTATAAATGACAGTGTATTATGGTTTAAATTTGTATTTATGATATGTGAATCTATGAAACATAAAAGTATATACCAGAAATCCACCTTGCAGTGAGTGGCAGCATTCATCTTTGCCACACAGTATGCATATGTGCTCGACATAACGAGGATAAAAAGAGGATAAAAACTTGAACGTTTTTGCCTGTTTATTGCTGATATCTGGCATCAGCTTGTGTGTTTGTGTTAATGTTTAAGCATTTAGCTTCTTGTGTGTGTGTTTTCCTTCTTTAAATGTTTAATGAAGTTGTTTTTAACTGTTAGCTGAAGGTTGTGATTCTTGGACCTAATGACCTTCTGAGGGAGTCTAATGGCAATAAAACATTGCCATAAGTACAATGGATGCAATATCTCATAATCCATTCCAGCGCAATTTCCCAACTTGCATGAATAATTTGGCAGGTGCTCATTTTTACTTTCACTCAAGCTGAGCACTAAAACTGGCAGTGTACATTTTCGTGTAGATTTGCATCACCACACTATGTCTTAAATATGATTTGTTACACCCCTGAACTATTCATTTTAATTTTTTCATTTTAAAACTAGTATAATTGATAAGCTGCAATGGCTGTTGTTGTTAGTAAAAGAATTGTTTATAATATACATGAGAATGATGTTTGTTGTCACTTAGTTTCTCTTAATCTTTGATATCCAGAGCTTAGGTACTCATGGAGAAAATAAATAAAACAAAGAGGAGGATGTTATGTCTCAGTGCTTTAGGTTAAAAAATAAAATCAATAATAAACAGTTCATTACTGTTGACATACTATTTAAAGTATGTCAGTATGTCTAATTTCAAAGCTCAAAGATATACAAATCATAATTCACAGGAGCTTATAATCTTGGATAATGAGAGTAGTTTTTTATAAGCTGTTAATTCTGTTTAAGATGTTAAGATGAACTTGTAATTAAGAAATAGTAAGATGGTTAATTTATTAAGATGAACTTGTAATTAAGAAATAGTAAGATGGTTAATTTATAAATTCAAATTACATTATAAAAGAAAAAATCAACTGTAGGAGAAAATCAAGTTGACAAATTTCATTGTATGAGTAGTGAGGTTTTTTTAATTAAACAAAATTTATAATATAAGTTTTTTTTTTTTTTTTTTTTTTTTTTTTTTTTTAAGATTTTTTTTTTTTGGGTTTATCACATTTAACAATGTCTAAGTGTAGGAAGAACTCTTCTGAGAAATGAGCTTCTATTTCTCCTACCAGTGGGAAGTTCCTAGCCAAACTATGTGTGGAATTGATGTCTACCTATGTGGGGCATTTTAAATTTGAGATGAAAATATTCCACTCAAAACTTTGTCTCTTGTAGCTTTCTCCCAGAGAACTGGTTTTTGTCTAAGGCAATCAGTCAGATATCCTGAAAGCTAAAATTTCAGAAAATGTTTCTTCAATGCACTGTTGAGAATAGGTAGTAGATGTAATCCCTGTTCTTAGGCATACAACTTTCTGTAAAGGGTCTATTTTCTTTACT